ACTATAACTCAACGAAAAAAATTTATATTAATATAAATTTATATTTACTCAAAAAATCTGTACCAAGTAACGCTGGTCCAGCAAGATTAGAAACTAATACAAACTGTATTGGGAAAATTAAATTGTGAAATAGTATTTTAATATCTATTTTTCCTTCTACTTTTAGAATTGAGGCATTAGCTGTATGAACTCTAACATTTTTTGTATCGATAAAGGCATTTTTTATTTGAACTTGTTCGATGTTAATAACAGAAATAGTTGCACCTGAATCAAATATGAAAGGGGTTTCTTTATTATTTATAAATCCGACTACTTCTAATCTAATAGCTGGAATAGGTACCTCGTTAAAATTCTCAGTACAGCTAGAAATCTGTTCAGCATTCTTTTCATTTGAATTTTTTAGTGCGTCAAAATTAGGATTTTTCATAAAATTATCAGGAGATAGCCTAATGTCTACCTCATGTCTTACATGTTTTTTTGATTATTAAATGTTTTTTTATTCGATGGATCATTATTTTGACCCGAGTAAGGGCCTTGGTTGGTGTTTTCGGGTAAGTGATTTGATTGATTAGGATTATTCATATTATTATCTATCTGGTTTATAATGCTGATTTGAATAATTAAACTTTTTATTATCATAATTTTGGTGTAGTGAATTATAAAATTTACTTTTATTAACATTATTCATGGTATGTGGTTGTTGAAAATTATTATTATTTTTAAAACCTGTGTTACGATTTTGATTACCCGTGAGGCGTTATTAAAATGTTGTTTACCATTAAAGTTTTCATTTGACTGGTAATAATTATTTCTATCAAATTTCTTATTCTTAAAATTATTTGAGTCGTTAAAGTTTCTTTCTCTATTTGTATTATAATTCTGATATTTATTTTTATTATTGTTGTTATAATTATATTTTTTAAAATTATTGCGATTATTATTTGTATAGCCATTATTATTATATGATAATTGATTAGCAACAAAAGCATTTTGTTCTACCAGTTTTTGATTTAAAGATTCTATTTCTGCTTTAAGAGCATCAAAATTATGAGTGTTATTTCGTTCATTTACCGTTGCTCTTGCTGATTCTACCTTACGCAAATTTTTTTGTAAGTCCGAGAGTGTATTATTATTCATTAATGCGACTGGGTTATAAAAATCGGGTGGGAGCGCTTCCAATATTAAATCAATTTTTTCTGTGTCCGTCATTTTAGGTTTGACTTTGTGGGCTAATAATAAATAGAAATTGCGAAACTGTTTCGGTTAATTTTAATTTTCTGTTTGTTAATTTTCCTTTAAGCATTCTGGTCCTCCCCGGTGAAATGAAATATTCCTTGAGTGCTCAAAATGACTCCATGTTGGTGTAGGATTATGTATGATATAATTTTGATAGAATGCCTTTGCGCTTTTTTTGAGATATATTGGGACATACATTATTTTTTTATCATCCGACCACTCATTAGCCACAGATATCAAATTATAATTTTCAATAAATTCGTTGACACATTCCTTTGGTTCGCCACTATAAAATTCGGGTTTAAAAAAAATTGGATTGGACATGTTGAAAATTTCTAGTCTATGGTTAATATTAATTGGGTCAACTAAATCAGTATCCGTCTTTTTTGAACGCGTTATAACAGGTGATCTCCGCTCGATATTAAAAGGTTTAGGTATAAAATCTGGATCACTATCGTTATCGTCCTCACTTTCATTTTTGTCTAAAATAGATCTTACTAAAAGTCGTAAGTCTACGGTTTCGCTATTCTTTGAAAATTCCTTATTTAAAAATCGTAAAATTTGTATTAGATCGTCTTTAGATAAAAAATAGTATATTGAAGATAACAGGAGTAGCGGAGTACGAGTTGAACAATACTGAATTATTATAATTTAACTATTAGGTACGTTATTATATACTTAAAGTTAATCAATTAATTACGTTTAATAATATTGTAAATATGACTATAGTAGACTGATGTATAGCAGGGTTGGACTAGCCCCAAAATGTGTACCGGGAAATTCTATTTTTTGGCGGCCCTGCTTCTTTTGACCAGCCACGTAGTTGAACCTAAGGGGACAAGCTCTATTATAAAAAAAAATGTTAGTTAATAGTGAATTATCTAAAAATATAATTTATAAGAAGGAAATAAATATAAGCTCCCCCCTTCAAGAAAAAAAATATATTGTGTTAGGTGTATGACTAGCCTTTGTCATGAGTTATTTTTTTTTTAAATATAATATAATAAAAAAACAATTAATATAAATACATTGTCAAACAAAATATGAAAAATTTCATCAAAGCAGAATACATAAATTATTTAATAAAAATAATAATAATTCTTTGTAAAGGTAGGTAGGTAATATATATTTTTAAACAACTAATATTTTTTTGAATACTGAGCTATGTTTTATCACTTCCTCAATAATGTTTTCATATGTTAATGTTTCCAAAATATCTTTATTTAAATGCATTAACATTCATGCATCCAGATTTTCCATCGATAGACGGTTTTTAAGTAGGTTTTTAATAAAACTTAAGGTAGAAAAACTCTTTTCACAGCCTACCTGAGTGCATGATAGTGTTGAAATATACATATAGGCTAAAAATAAATTGCTATATGCTTTAACATATAATCTATATTTAAACAATACATTAAAACAGCAAAGAAAACATTTTAAACACCGTATATTTGTTTTGCATAGGTTTTGTTCAAACTCATTTTCTTGCAAACATTCTAAATCTAATTCTGGAAGTTCATTTTCCTCATCACTTCTATAACTTTCATATACTTCAGGTAAATTTAATTTAAGCTTATCCCATTTTTTGGTAAAATCTAGAAATTCTTCCCTTAAAATAGAAGTATTTTCTAATCCAAGAACTTTACTAAGTTTGAAAAGAGCAGTTGTGGGCAATGGTTTTGAAAATTGACGAGGATCTAAGCATGTAAAATCTGAACATATTTCAGCGTGTTTAGCAAAACGTTGTTCTAGTTTACAAATCACTGTATCCATCGCTGTGTTATGAACATTAAATTTAAACAAGTCAATAGCAGTTTCAGTAACAGTTACATTTTGGTTCTCACCATACAATGTTTTTTTCTAACGTATCCGCACATTTGGCAAATTATCCGGGATCAAATTATTAATTTCATCTACTAGGTAGTTTAATTTTGTTCATAATAATACAATAATTATTTCTGTCCTTTTATCAATTTAAATTGATTTAAATATTAAATTCCATAAAATAACGATTGAAATAAATTTTTTTTTATCAAATTAAGATAACCACCATCATACTCGCGGTCCAATATAATTTATTAATAGTTACGGCGGTACGCCAGTACGGCCCCTTTTTGCTGCGGCCCACCGGGAAATTTCCCGGTATCCCGGTGGGCTAGTCCAACCCTGATGTATAGTCTCTATTTCACGGATCAAAACTCGACTGGCTGCTATGCCAATAATATATATGCTCGTACTCTACGTTCCTGTTTTCTGTTTACCTAAGCAAATTCGCCGAGTGCGACATAAATGACGAGTCAGTAAACTGCGAATCGTTACAACTATTATGTCTAACTTTTTATAATAATCTAAATATCTGTTCATATAATATTATTATAGTTGGTATTCAACTACCAATTATTGTTATTATAAGCTCTCTACTATTACTTTACTATTCGTGTTAGGATGAATAACTTTTTATAACAATCGAAATATTATATTAAGTAACTTTTTACATTTGTTTTTACTTTGTATCTATTTAATAGTAGTTGTAATACCTTTTATCACTATTATGTCTATGTCAAAGACTTGTGATAATAATATTATGTCACTTTGTAACGTTAGTTTACATTATTTAAACTTTTCATATGTTTTGTTAGTATTTAACTGCTAATTCTAGAAAATGGATTTGTTATTGATGTCTGTATGAGTAACTTTGAATATATCTATATTAATTCTAATTGTATTAATTTGTTTCAATATATTATTCATTATATTATGTACCTTTTTTAATTTGTTTTTACTTTTAATTATATAATATTAACTTTTAAACACAATTTGCTATTTACATCTGAATGGATAAATTTTTATAATAATCTCAAGATCCGTTAGTAGAATTATTACATTGTATTTACAATTGTATGCTATGATTGTATCGATTGAAAATATATATATCATGTAACTTCTTGCATTTCGTTTTTTACTTTGTAACCACCAATTGTTATTATAATTAATTGTAAGTTTAATATACTATAATATGCTTTAACTTTTATGTCTATGCCTTTTAACCACAATTTATGTCTGAACGAATAACTTTTTATCTGTTAATATAAAATATAAATATTATTATAGTTGACAATGTATTCACAATCCTATACTGTGATTGTATTTACATTTGTTACACTGTGCTATTGTGGAACTTTTCACATTTTGTTTTATACTTTATAACCGCCAATTGTTATTATTAATACAATATAATAATATGTTTTCACTATTATGTCTAACTTTTTATAATAATCTAAATATCTGGTCATATAATATTATTATACTTGGTATTCAACCACCAATTGTTATTATAAGCTCTCTATAACTTTGCTTTTTGAATAAACTTTTTTATAATAATCTAAATATCTGTTAGTAGAATTTTGTTAGTTGCATTTACATTTCTATGCTATGATTGTATTAATATTATTGTCTATGCCAATAACTTTTAAACACAAAATTTTCAATTTATGTCTGAACTTATAACTTTTTATAATAATCTAAAATATCTCTTCATATAATATTATTATAGTTGGTATTCAACTACCAATTATTGTTATTATAAGCTCTCTACTATTACTTTCCTATTCGTGTCTGTATGAATAACTTTTTATAACAATCGAAATAGTATATTAAGTAACTTTTTACATTTGTTTTTACTTTGTATCTATTTAATAGTAGTTGTAATAATCTCTATATATCTCTAATCTCGAATTGTGATAATTTATGTCTGTATGAATAACTCTAAATATAATAGTCCAAATATCTGTTAGTACAAGTAGACTGTATTGTTACGTTTGATACGTAACGTTTTAATTGTATCATCACTATGTATTATTACATACCTATCATACTACTATTTCACACAATTCAATACTATAAGCTAATATTACTGTATTTTACTTATGTAATTTTCTGGTATTTTGTAACGTCAATGTAAGAATAAAAATAATATTGCAAGGCGACTCATGGCTTATATTTAATAGCCTTACCCAACCTAACGTTTTATTTGTATCGTCACCGTATTATAATGATCAATATTGGTTGGTATTTATCTATGTTCTTTGTATTACACTGCCTATTGCTCTTATACACATCTAACAATAGCAAAAAAATATTTAAATACATAATTACACAAATAAACATATTTTAAAATACCGGCTTACATCAAACCTCTTGAAATGTTAAACCTAACACATAGGGTACTAATATTAACTAATGTGTTGACCATGATTATTATATTAAGGTAGGAAATAAAAACAAGACATGTGAAAATAAAAGTTTTTTATTCATCGCATCTGCAAAATATTAAAGGGAAAAGAATATTGTTAGGATAATGGCATTAAATAAAATTCTCCAATTGACAACTTGAGGTGTTGATCAGCAGCCCTTCCAACTGCTCTAGGGCGGAGGCGCAAGACACACCAGCCATCGATTCGTACGTCTACAATTTATATAATTCATAGAATTAACATTTTAAACATGGCATTAAAAGCTATTCTCAAATTCACAACTTGCTGTGGTCTATCCAATACCACATGTGGGCTGGTCCACTTTCATTCATATCCTACAATTTTGTATTTATTTAGCGCTATTAGGTTTAAAAATATTACTTACGGGTGACGACATCGGGGTCGACGTCGCGATTGGGGTGGGCGCCGCGGAAGCCGACCTTTCGGCGAGACTTCGCGGCGGCCTCACCCTCATCGAACCCCGGGTCGATCCGCTCCCACGTCGGATGACTGGTGATGTATAT